GCAATTTGGGGTTCAGTGTTTTGTCCAAGAACACTGCAGCACATTTAGGGGCCGGGATCAAACCACCAACCCTGCAGTCAGTGGAAAACTAATAGCCTCTCATATACCACTTGTGCCACACACATTTCATAATATTTAAAAATGTCCAATTTCATACAGTTCAAGCAGTGAACAAGTGACAGGTTCATGGGCACTAAAGGCTCACTGATGTGACGCATGGTCTGATCCCACAAAAGAGCTACTCTCACAAAAATTGCTGAAAACCTGAGATGATAGAAAGATGTCAGAACATGTCATGTCTAGCAATTATGTGAGTCTCAGAGCTGGACCATGGGGCAACTGGATGCTGGTGTGCTGTTCCTGGGGATGAGGATGCACTATGGGAAAAATCAACAACCACTATGAGGTATATGGTGTTATTATTTCCTGTGTAACAGCAGAACATCTGGCAGCGACATGTCCACAGATTAGTTGCAGTAGTTCCAGGGTCACCTCCTGAAAATGTATTAAGTGTTACTGTCCTCTAGTGGAGACGTTGCTCCACTTCAGTTGTGTGATGACCTCGTGAACATCTCCTTAGTTCAGTAGGACAACTTTAGCTAACACTCGAGACTGCGGTTTCCATTTTACTACATAGTGTGCACACTGTGTTCACCATAGTAAGAGCAGGCGGGAGCGTGAGGCCTGTGTGTGTGTGTGAATGGTGAGTAGACTGATACCCATTGTCCAGCATGTCACTGCTTGTAGCTGTCATTCACTGGTCTCTGGCCCTCTGCGGTTTCCAGTTTCCACCGCAGTGAAACCAGAAGCTGGTGAATGAGATGAATGAAAAGTGTGACACCTGCAGACAGAGAGGCAGCCAGCGTGTTGTGACAGATTTGGTTACTGCGGTCACTAAGATTGTGGCTGAGCATGCTGAGGATCCTCTCCTCACCGATCTCTGGCACACACAGGAGATTCACATATTTAGCCAATATTCTGTTAGCGCAAGCTTTGTAGTCCACCATTAGGATGATCCGTTTTCTACAATCTATTTGGTATATTCGTTGCTAATCTTTGGGAGGAGTCTGTGCCAGCAGTCAACGCAGAGAGCACTCTGGATTGATGCTGCTCAGTTTTTGAAAGTCCTAGTTGTGTATTTTATCACATCATTAATAATACAAACATTCTGTCAAAGGTAATAAAGCTGCACTACATAATATTTTTCATATATAGTGATGGATCTGTTTACTTATGTAGTGTAAAAAATACATATATACACTCACTATACAGGTGCAAAAGTGCGCCAGCTTCAAGTATCTTGGCATGGCCTACTTTACATGCATGAAACTGAGCTCTCCAAGCAGGCATCCGTGGACTAGAAAAGTAATATAATAACAAGAACTTTGCATCCGTGGTGTCTGCAGTTGTCTGTGTGCACGTCCACGTGGAAGCACCATCAAGGCTTTCTACTACATGTCTGGGAAACAGGAGTAGACTTGAAAGATTCTGTTCCATACCTGCACCTACCCCAACAGAGTCCTTCGCTCTGACTGCAGGTTTACTCGTGGCTCCAAGAACTTCAAAAAGCAGAATGGGAGGCAGAGCCTTCAGTTATCAGGCTCCTCTGTTGTGGATACAAGTCGCAGTCCAGAGGCAGACACCCTCTACAACCTAAGATGAGGCTTAAATTATCCTTAAAAAAAAAACAAAAAAAAAACAAAGCTTATAATCAGTACTGGTTCAGGTCACCCTGAACAATCCCTTGGTTGTGCTGCTATAGTGCACAGGGATTTCCCACAATGCACAGAGCACCTCTCCTTATTATTATAAATATCATTGTTAGCATTATTACTTTGACAACCAGTGTTCACATACATTTCAGTACAGATTTTATGTACAATCTCTGATATACATTTTTGATAGTTCTGTTATATTAGTATTTAAAAATTGCATTCCACTAACAATATAGCCAATGATAATATCAATAACCATACAACTTCTAATAAGCATGTAGTGTAGTATTGCAAACTCTTTGCTCTACAAATGGAAAGTTTGCAAAAATGTTTGCAAGATATTAAGCACACAACAACTTTTCAAGGGAGTAAAGTTTATTGAAAGAATCAATCTATTAACTTCACAAAAAAAAATCATTCAAATAGAAAATATCACATAGAAACACCATGTTATTAAACGGTACCATTTAATGGGTCTTTGAGGAGGCAAAGGGCTCCCTGTTTTAGGTCAATCTAAGTATCAACAACACAAACACTCATCAACTATCACAGTAAAACCACAAGGCATTTGGTTTGTGTCGTAAAACATAAATGCACCAGTCTGTATAAATGAGACCGACGCAGTAACTGCTCATATCAGTGCAGTTAAAAAGGTAGATCAAAGGTAAGAAAGTGCAAATAGTCACACTGGGCTTCAGGTCAGTGCACTTGGACCACGAGGGCTTCACTGAGCGTACTGAGGAGGACACCTTCCTACGGTCACAGTATTACAAAGTATTACAAATGACTTTCACACTCGACAAACATTTTCTTTTCAGCAGATGCAGAACAATGCTGACGGGCTCAACGTTAATTATGTTTGTGTGATGATGCTGATGAAGCACTGACAAAGGTATCGGTTCATCTCTGCAGAGGCAGCAGAACTGAGCATCATTCCACCTTCCCTGTCTTTCTCTCACACAGATGCTTTCTGTTTTAATGCCGAACACAAGTACTACAAAAGTAGGAACTCTAAGCGTATCTAGAGGAAACAGAGTGCAAGAATCATCTTCACTAAAGACACATTTTAAACACAAGGTAAGTACACTTAGATCATAGGTGCTTGTAAGAATTATATCTATAAGGTTTTGGTGGTTAAGATAAAACTAATGGGTGATCTGTGTCTAATTCATGCGTGAGCCTACAAAACACTTGGCATTCAGGTTTTCTTCAGCAGTTAAATTATTACAGGAGTTTAAACAGCATGGGCAACGGATTTGAGATCAGACACCAACTGATGTACTGGCACAGCCAATGAGCTTATCACTGATATATTAGACTGTCACTGTCTTTAAATAATTAAGTTTGACCAGCATGTAATTTGTTCAAAATAACGTCACTGTGACCCACTTAAAACACCTTCCAGAAACAACTCTAGTCCAGGAGCATTTCCACAAACACCTCGCAGACGTAAATTTAAAACATTTCACAAATTACCACAAAAATACAACTGAACAAAATTTAATTAAATTAAATAAGACCAGAAGCCTGAACCATAATGATGTCATCGGTGGATGTATCTTCACATAAAGGAGGAAACTAAAGGCCTCTGAGTAAAAACACCTCACACTCCACTGGTCTTTCACATGCTGGCTGTCTTTGCCTATGAGTAACATTTTCGGACTGAAGTAAATAATTGCTATATCCAGGTCGTCCCCTCGAAGGGCTTTTTGAAGTTTAAACACAGCCCCCACTGCATATATATTGGCAAATAATAGCTAGTACTGGAATATATGAATATGAATCCCAAAAATGTGTTTGAATTAAATTAGAAACAGCTCTACCAGAACAGAATTTGTCCACTACAAAGCATTGGGTTTGCATCTTGATCACAAAATGAGTTTCTTCCATATTGTGGCTGCTCTGGTCATGCTGGAGAGCTTATATATCTATCTGTCATGGAAACACCTCAGGATCCCCAAGAAAGACCTTGAAATCATTGCTGAAATGAGGGAGGACTGAATGACATTACTTAGCCTGATGCCACTGCCAGCTGACTCTGGACAAGTGGCACAAAATTATTTTTGTTTGTTCAAATGATGTGTTCATGTTCTAAATTATGAACTGATACAGAGCTATCAGATTTTTAAAGCGTAAAAAATAAGCATAGGCTTAAAAAACTGAGCTAGGTTTTAATTTAATTCTTCAGGGAATACTTAAACTCTGTTCTGATAGATACTGATCTAGCTTCTGAGAAGCTAAAATCCTACAAGCCAAAGAGTGTTTATCAAACCTTAGTGAAATATGATTCAGGAAAAAATAAAGTAAAAACTAAAGATTTGGCATCAATTATTCCATAAATTTAATAAATGTAACATATGGAAAAAGTAACATTTTCGTAATGATACACTAATCCAGGTATTGTATTGGCACAGAGTGTGTTCTAACATCCAGCTCTGACTACAACAGCCTGGTGGGACTTTGTTTGGGTCATCCCTTCTTTATCTGTGCAGATAGTGGGAGTCATAGTGAACTTTTAATTACAAGCCAATATCAGATCAAACTAACGTGCAAATCCATCTAACACAACTCTATAGTACATGCAATAGAGCACGCTGCACAGGTCACAAACTCTGCTAGCATGCACGATGTTGGTGTTGATGTTGGATGCATGCAGGCCAGGCAGGCTGGCAGTGGTGTGACAGGTTATATTCACGACTGTGCAGGGAAGGTGGACTGGGCTCAGATGATGGTCTTGAGCTCCTCGTCAGTCAGCTGGTTGACTGCCATGATTTTTGTCAGCTGCTCAGCATACCTCGTCTGGTCCTGCATGAAGTGCGGGATGCGGACATTCTCCATCTGAGCCATGGTTTTCAGGCGGTCCACGTCTTCGAACGACACCTGAGCCCAGAGAAAAAGAGAAGAGAGATTTGGCAAATTGTTACACTGCAGAAAATAAAATTGAAACACTTGAGCTTATAAAACATTAGAGCATAGTGATTTTTACTCTAGATTGCTGATTTAACAGATTTGACAGAAATGTTCACGTGCTCTGCGCTCAAACCTCTGGTGCTGCAGGGCTGTGATGGTGTTCTTATAAGAATTTCACTTCTTACATCACATTTAACAGTTACAGCTGGAATGAGCACCTGGATTAATCAGCAGCGCATTCAGCTCTTTTGAAGCAGAAGAACATGGTATGTTTGCTGGTCTGACTGGTTATATAAGCTGCGTTCAGCATTCCCACGTTACTGATATTTTACTGTGCCTGAACCACAGTCGTGCTCTGTGCAGTGGAACTTTTATTTTATGTATCTGAATGACACAAACAGCAGTGTTTATTCTGTTGTTGCAGAATAAATGGCAGAGAGGACATCATGAGAAACATGACACCGACAACAATGAGATAGTCAAAAGAAGTAGCTTTTAAACGGAACATAATTGACGGGTACGACTGATAAAGAATTCATTTACCTCCAAACAGGAAAGGCAGCACAATATGGAAGCCTGATGTGCTACTTTGATGCACAATAAGCATCCTCACTGAAGTGTGTCGGAGCTGGGGGCATTCAAAAGGAAGCTGAACAAAGATCAGCCTCGGCATTATGAGTGCATCCAGAGAGGATGGAAGTGCTAATGGAGGACGTCACTGGTAAACAATGATGCCCTGATTTGAACTTACAGATCAGGATCAGGAATGATCAAAGCACTTTTTAACAGATCAGTATCAGCGCGAACATAAGCCTGATCCGATGTTATCATGACTCAGTTATTATGTGGTGATTAAAAGGGAAAACATTTGTTTGTAGCATTGTAGCATTTTAGAAAATGTTTTTAAAGAAGTCAGTTGTGTCGCTATCACTTGCAGCTAATCCAGAAAGTCGTTATTCAACCTGGCTACTGCTGAGTAAATCAGTAGATGGCCCAATATCGCCTGAGACAGAAACAGCTAAGATGCCTCACCTTTCCAAGAGCCATCAGCAGTGGGAAGTTGATCTTGTCTCTGTATCTCAGAATCTTCAGGATGCCATCCAGGTAGACCTGGTCTTTACTGAAGCACCCTGCAAAGCGAGAGTCAGAAAACAAAACCATTAAAATGTGATAAGCAGGAATTTTACAAGAGTAACAGAATTGTTTTGAATGTTTTTTAAAAGTATCACGTGAATAATTCAAGCTAAGACAATCACTGATAGACTGCTATGTGCAATCATGTCTAACACTGGCTGCATACATCAGCAAACCCACATTTGAGTCTTTAATACCATGTAGCTAAATAGTGACCTGGCTGTGCCGTATCGATCTGGCCCCTCTTGGCTCGGACGCAGTAGTCCCAGCGGGTGTTGGGGTCCTGGACAAAGCGTCCAAGGCTGTGGAAGAGGTGAGAAAAGGACATGTGGCTGGCCTGATAGACGGTGTAATAGAGCAGGGCAGCGCGCCACAGTGTGGGGTCCTTCCTGAACAAGACGCTGTGAATGCTGGCCAGACCCTCCTCTGTGGGGTTCAGAGGCTTCAGGTTGTGCTTCTTTCTGCCCAAACTGCTGCTCCACGGCTGGTGACAGTTGTTGATGCCACGGAAGTAATGTGTGCCTGACGGACAGAGAAGCACGAGTTAAACAGATGTGTCCGAGTCAACATTATTAGTTCCAGCATCAACTGTTCCTCATGATATAGTGCATCAATACCAGTAACGGTCCTTAACTGAACACTGGAGGGATTTTATTGTCTTGTGATGAACTGCATTATAGTCAGATGTAATCAATAGTAATGGTTCTGGAACCTCACATTTAGAAGAAAATGTAAGCTTTGTGCTTCTACACCCACCGATCTCGTGCCTCAACATGCCCTCCAGCCAGTGCTCTCGGGCACTGGAGATGTTGATGGTCAGTGTGGGCCTGCTGTTCACCACCGTCATGGAGGCTCTGGACAGAAGGTCATCTGTCACCTGGACGACGATCTATCAGCACAAGAATCACAGTAGAAGAGTCTAACAACCTGCCATTTACAGCATGACTGTGTCATCAAAATCATTCATTGGTGAAAATCAATGTGTCATCTCTGACTGTGTTATTTTTAAGAGGATGTTAATGTCTTATTTACCTCTACTACCCACACATGATATCCCACAGTGTGCATGACACATGCAAGACAAATTAACAAACACCTTACAACGTGATTGTAAAATGTCTGACCTTTTTGTGTGGTTAAATTTCTCTATATAAGACACAGGCAACCACCTCAACACAGAGAGAACTAGCCTGACCAGGAACTATCTGGTCAAGGATTAAATCAATTCAGATACTAAGATAATGACATTAAGATAACAACTTTAATTTCAAGTCCAAACAATGACCCGAGTAAGGAAAGAAGTAGTTGGATTCAAAGCTGAGCACACAGCAACACCTTCACAGGCAACACTTAAAGCACCTCATCAACCTTGAGGTATGTATACTGACGTTTTATTGCAAGTCACAGGGCTGAGTGCCTATAAAGCAAAAATTGCAGTGATTCAAAAGTTACAGGAGGTCGTTATGCATTAGGAATGCTAAGTAGCTGCCACAAACTTAAGCGTATATTTGACAAACTAAAAACAACTTCTTCAAATTAGATTAACAACTTTCATACAGTGGTCACTGTGCACATAAGATGACAAGACATTCACCTTGTGGGGTGTTGTGGGCTCTACAGATCTGCATGTTTGACATAGAAAAGCAAAACTGAGCACTATACTTTGGCAGAGGTCATATTTACTGCATGGCTGTCGTACTAAAAACAAAAATGCTTTCTATGCAGTTTGGTCTGCAAGTCATTGTACTCAAAAGCAAAATGTGCTTTTCTAGTCCTTTTAATTTAGCTTGAAACATTTCTACATCTAGTTTTCCAAAGAAATAGCATTAAATAAAGGAATAAGAACACAGACTGACAAATCCAAATGTTTGGAGTGGCTTCTCCTTTAATGCAGTTCACGCCAGAATATTTTCTTTCCACTAACTTGTGTGTGTAAACGCACGAGAACGTGGCTGAGCATACACGAGGTCTGTGTATATGTGTTCAGTGGAACATTATTAATTTGGTGATGTAACATGCACTTGTTTGGTTACATAAATACAGCTACACACAAGCAAGGAGCAGGACGACCTCAGCGAAGTGGTGGCTTTTTGCAACACTATTCCCTGGAGCGCATTCACTTTGACAACCTGCTGTCTGCTGTTCTGTAATGATGGTGTTCAAATCCACCATGGCACACACTGCAGAGGGCAGCCACGGAAAGATATCACACTCCAAATACAGCCTTGTGATGATGATTTTACTGCATTTAATATGTTCTACAGAGGGAATGTGTTGTGCTTGAAATAAACTAGAAAAAATAGAAACTGTAACACCAAAAGGATGTGCAAATAAAAAGCAATGCATCACCTTCCTTCCTCATCCAAATCCTGAGAAGCCTGTCCTCTTACCTCCCCCATGCAGCCTTCCTTCTCCATGTATTTCTTGACGTTGTGCCAGATGCGACTTTTGGTGAGGAGGTTGCCCCCAGTAATCTGCTCAAACTTCTCATAGCTGCCGTATCTCTGCAGGGCGAGCTCCATGATGTGAACTGCCTGCAAGAGATGAGAAAATCACAATGCTAAACTGCCTGTGACTAATGCCTGTCCTTCACGCTTGCTTTAGACATGCAATGCTTGCCAATGATATTACAGCAGGGCTCCAGAATGCCATCATTTCGGTCACACATGCAACCAAAAATCTGTCAAGTGCGACTGAACATTTTCATTGGTTGCACCAGTGTGAATTTAGCAGGTCTGTCTGTGTGTCTCTAGGCAGTAAAAAAGTTTTTTAAAAAAACATGTTCTTAAATGAGCCAGTGTTATTCAATATGAAGCAGCAAGATATTTTATTTGTCGTCTATTTGGGCTGGTAAATGCTTCGGGCTTAAATAACTCTGACCAAGATGCACAGGGTTCAGGCTTTTCTAGGTTAAAGCCAATTTGTCAGAGCTCTCTGGCAAACAATATAGCAAAGACACAATAGCTAAGCACAACTTAGGTCAGCAGGTTTGTTACTAGTGTCACACATGGGAAAATAGCAATACACAATTTAGCTTGACTAATAAATAAAATATTATCTTGACGACATTAAATCCTGGATTGTTGAGAACTTTCTTCAGTTCAAGCAGCCAATGGCAAAAAAACAACTCCACTAGTCAGACCTAACACTAGGTTTTCATTTATTCCTGCTGTCTTCAGTTATGTGGCTCAGGCTCGTATAATAAAGAGATTTTATTACGGGAGTCTTGCCTTGCACTACTTTAAACCTTGAAAAGATATGCTTCTATAACACTCTGGCTTGCAGTCTTTCTTTACATTAAATGAATTCATGCTACACTAAATACTGTAATTTACTCTACCGAGTATTAGTGTCCTTCATTTTATTTGGCAAACACCATAATTGCCATACTGTGAGGCAAATGTGATTCAAGTGGCTACAGTCTACTTTCAAAGAGCTCATAGCGAAGGAAAATGTGACAAACTAGGGCAGACTCCAAGGAAAAAAAACATGAGCATCCTCTGGAGGATTATCTTACTGCATTTCCTGCTGAGCTCCCCGACTTTTTCCTTGTCTTACTATCGGAACACTCGTGTTACAAAAACAGCCTGCAACAGAACACCACAGGGCTGTTTTCCTGTTCACGAGAAATACGACTGATCCTACAGACACTTCACTGCATTCATCTGTCGGAGAACTGATCAGGACGTGGATTTGAGTTCTCACCAATATCTTGGAGAGACGTTCACTAAGTCTGCAGATGAGGCTGTTTTTAGTCACTTTTAAATGAACCTTCACTATAAACTCATTCATGCCAGCCACTTTCCACTTTCACTTGAACACCAGGCTCGGCACCATCAGCGCTGATCTGTTCTGACGCTAAACAGCTTTGGCAGCAAGTCTTTGTGATGGCAGCATCCAACTTGCTTGCTTGCTGGCATGTGGCATGAGGTTGCTGATCTCAAACCAAACAGCTCAGCACCAACCTCGTGCACTGGGGAGGTTGTTGTAGTGGTGATGAATGACCTGCCACTGCCTCTGGGCTTGATTTAAGGGTACTTTTGCACTTCCATTGACTGCTTGTACTTTGCATGCAGGCAAGCAAATTTCAAGTTTCTGTAACCCATTTATACTTATATTGTAGTTTTTGTACTTACATAGAGACCTTAACCAGGTGAATTTGTATAATATAACACTGTATGGTGTTAAATCTAATAATTCAATTAGTTAAGTAAATTTGTACCTTTAATCTTATTTCTTTATTGGTAAGCACTGTGACTCAATGTTGGTTGATTTAAATGTGCTTTATAAATAACACTGACTTGACTGAGATAAGCCTGTGTTGGGTCTGAACAGGCCCAAAGGTGATGTTTACCCTGGCTTTGCATCGCTGGTGTCATAGGATTACCACGGGGCTATTACTGTTAACTCTGACTCTGCAGCAGACACCATTGAACTGTGTTTCGGACATAACTAATTATTTTTATGAACGCAAGCTTCAGAAAGTCCAAACTCTTCCAGTAACCATGTCACAGTCACCTC